GCTTCTGACCTAGCGTAGAATAACCAATATTTAAGCTAACCTTTTCTTTTAACTGTTATTAGAAAGTCCCAGTCTGGTTCTAAAAATTTTATCATGGTCGAAAATTGCTTGTTATATGAAAAATGGAGAATTTTTTTTTTGAAGTGGACGACAATAAATTTTTTCGTGTAACGTTTATATTGAATGACACTTGATCTGCAATGTCCCGCGACTAATATGGGGCGCGGAAAATAGAAACAGCCTTAACTACCAAAATTGTGATTTTGAGTTAATGACATTTTTATATGTAATTCGCCACTGGAATTAATTTTAGCTTAGAAACAATACCCACTTTACTTAGTAAAATTTTGAGATATTTTCTGTTAAAGTTTTTAAAAACAATAGTAAATTACTTGAAATGTAGATCTTTTTTTCCGATTTTCTCAAAATCATGATTTTTGACGTTTGGTCCCTTTCTATTGTCCATGCCCCATGTAACCCCTTTATGACAGTGTCAAAATACTTTGGGTTGCATGTATAGATATAGATATGAGGTCCTAGTTTTTGTTGATCACAGAACCAACTTACTGCAGAAGTCATGTGATACTACAAATGTTGGGATGATCGTTGAACAATTTCTGGTAATACCCCGGGTCCTTTTCTGGTTTAAGCATAGTTAAAATTGAAATCTACCGATTAAAATAATTAAAATCAAGCCAAAATCATGTGGCTGACAAAAATACTTTGAAAAATGATTTGGAATACCATTTAATATCCTTATTAACAAAGAAAATAACTTGTAAAGAATGTTAATGTTATTTATCCTATAACTTTCTTAGTCACCAAAAATGAAATATGTAGATTTGGATGTTATGACTGAAATAAACAAAACTCAGAGCAACTTTATTATTAATAAAAGCCCAAACTAAATTCCGCTCAGGAAAAACTATTTTTTGTTCAGAAGAGAAGTATATTATTAGTATTATTATACAAAATTTGAGGTGATATAAATAAGTGGTGGTATACCAGTTTTTTATGTGGTACTTTTTTGATTTTATAATACTCTTCACATATAAATTGCTGATCTTTTTTTTTGAAATTCTTCTTCATAAAATTTCTACTTTAATTGCATCTTGCAGAAATAAGATAGGGTATGATGTTTCTGAACACATTCCAATTTTAGTAATCTCCCAAAATTTGTGAAAAAAAAATCATGATCCTTGGGCTTGAAGAGAACTAGTGTTCCATGTTGCAACCCAAAAAAGGAAACAAAATGGTTGTAAAGGTGGTTGCAATCATTTTTTTATATGATGCAAAGATGGTAGCAACCATCATCAAGAGTTGCAGCTGGTATTCTTAGGCATAATCAATTTGGTTTTCATAACAACATAAGATTTTCTTCGCCAGGTTTATCTTGAGGCATTGGAGCTTTCATAATTTAATTTGGTTACCAAACATTTTCAACATAATAGTCATGACAATAACAATAAAAAAGATAAAGATAATAGTCATTGAATTAAAGAAAATATATTTTTTCTTCAAGTGAGTTGTAAAAAAAAAATATTTAAAGAAAAAAGTTAATATTTAAAAAAGAAAAAAAAGTTTATATTTAAAGAAAAAAAGTTTATATTTAAAGAAAAATGCTCTATAAATAAAAATATTGAATGACTGACATTTTACAATATGAATAAATTAAAATATACGTGCGTGTATATCAAACATAGAAATAAAATAAATAATCTAAAATAACCAATGTAAAATCTAAAACTTCAAATTATCGTTTACATGAATATAATACAAAACAATCTATTTGAGTGTGTGGTATGGTGTGGTGTGTATGTGTAATATATTTTAATTAATTAAATTATATCATTTTTTTCTTATTTCTGCCATTTCTACCATTTCTACCACGAGTAACAACTTTCCACTCTTCCTCATTATTAATATTAGTTGAATTGTTGGCGAGTACAATTGTTGTCGTGGATGATGAATAATAATTTTTTTCGTTATTTTTATCGATTTTTGTTGGTTCATTATCATTATCATTTATTGAAAAAATAAAATCATTATCGTTGTTTTTATCATCGTTGATGATGTTGATTTGATTGTCGTTGTTACTATTATTAAATGATTCTTTAAATTGTTCTCGATCATAAAATTTAACTTTATTATTATCCTCTATAGGAGATGAAGGAGGCGATGATGATGATGGCGATGATGATGATGACGATGATGATGATAATGATAATGATGATGATGATGATGATGATGATAATTCCATTTCTTCTGGTTCTTCATCTTCCTCATCAAAATAAACACTCTCATCTTCATCTGATGATGTTTCTTCTTCTTCAACTACAACAAAGCCCTTTTGAAGTTCACGTTCATTCCATTTTAAACATCTTGATATTGAGGTAAACCAATCTTGTGATTGAGATTTTAAACATACGGTAGGGAATGGAAATTTTGATGGTGTAACTTTTATGTAATCTCCTTCTATAAATAGATATTTGGTTATTTATTTATTTGTGTTAATAATTTTACAATTATATTAAATAACACACACACACACACACATATAACTTACGCTTTAACTCAACTCTATTTCTACCATCAAAACTAGCCCAAGAAGTATTACGACTATTGAACGGAACGTATATCTTTAATTCCATTGAATCGGGCAATAACATTGGTCGAAAAGATAATGTATGTGGACAAATAGGTGTCATTAATAAAGCAGAAATTTCAGGATGCACCAAGGATCCACCAGCTGAAACGGAATAAGCAGTAGACCCTGTAGGTGTTGAAATAACCAAGCCATCAGCTTGTACAGTTGTCAAATGTTCATCATCACCTAATAATAATAATAAACAAGAAGATGTAACATAAAAGTTATATTACTTGTAACATTAATCAAGCTTTACTAATAATCTAAAAATAAAATAAAAATGATGATGATGTTAATTTATTTACCAAATAATTCTAATAAACTCATATAAGGACCAGCACCACGATCTACAACCAAATCGTTTAAAATTTCAAAGGTTTCAGATGGTTGAAATGTTAAAGAATGTTCATGAATACTTTTCTCGTTGTCATTATTATTATTATTACTGTTATCAATCTTTTTGTTTTTTCTTTTGCTTTTGTTATTTATTACATTTCTGTAAACTGTACAAGTGAATCTCATACGTAAGTTTACACGTATTCCTTTTTCCATAACATTTGTTAAATGGTTTTTATAATCTTGAAAATCGAAATTTGTTAAGAATCCTAAAGATCCCAAATGAAATGGTAAAACGGGAGGAACAACTTTTTGGAATAACCAAGATGTATACAACACTGTGCCATCACCACCTAACTGTTTATTAATAAACAAATTTGAAATGAATGGAATGAATGAATTAGTATGTTAATATCAATTCATCAATTAATTCATCAATTAATAATGTTAAAATAAAATTACCGTCAATACAAAGTTAAAAATTTCAGGCCTAGTAGCACATAATTCATTTGTCCAAAATTTCAAATAATCTTTGGCCAAATGAGAAGTTTTTAGCATTTCCTCGAAATCAAATTTTTTCATATCTTTTAAAGATTTATCAACATATACTGTGACACCATGGTCTTTACCAAATCTTGGAGTAGAAATTAAATGCATTGCTAATTCACGTGTCAAGCCAATTAGTTTATCATCACCTGGTTTTGTTACAATCATTACTGTCTTCATTGGACTTTGAATACGTGCTTGACCTAATAATTAAAATAATTAATTAATTAATTTAGATGAATAAATTTAAATTAACTATTAAAAATAAAATTTATTATTACCTAATCTTTTAGCGATTTCTCTTACGCCAACAGCAGTTTCAGCCAATTCAGAATAATCAGTTGGTTCGTTATTATCACACCTAGTAATAATTTCAGATAAAGGTGTGGAAAGTAACGAATCATTTAAATAAGAATGAACAAAACAAGGAGATTTTGGTGTTATCGAAGGAGTTGGTAATTTAGTTGATGGAATTTTCAATAAGTTTTTATTAAACTTAGGTGGAGATTTATTTTTTGTAAAAGATGGCGGAAAAAATTTATTATGTTCAATATCAATATTATTAACATTGGAATCAACGTCAGCATTTGTGTTAGCATTAGTCATTTTAATACTATCCACAATTGTTGTTGTCGTTGTAATAACGAGATTATCATTATTATTCCCAATGCTGGTGATTTTATTATTAATGCTGTCCTTGTTGTTGCTCTTGCTTTTTTGACTTCCTTTATATTGAAGAGAATTTTTTTTCCCTTTATGTGAAACCGAATTATTATTATTGCTATTTTTAGTTGAACCCTTCATTTTTAAAGAAAGTTAAAAATAATTATTATATTGATATTGATATATTTACGAGGAAAAAATTTGGGTTTGTCAACCAGTGACTTTTTTTTTAAAAAAAAAAAAATATATATATGAATTTAATTAAAGAATGTATACGATTTATATTTATGTAATTTTTTTTCTTTCAAAAATTTTTTTTCAATAAACGTGGATAACTTGTTATACACGCGTTTGAAAATAAAAATAAAATGATTCATTCATTTAAATAATGAAGGATCGACAGACTAGCTAAAATAGTTATAAATATGTTTGATTTCAATGATTGCGTTTTATTTATTTAATTTATTTTCCAAATCAGGCTTATCCTAATTCCGGAATTCCCTTATTGTTATTTGATGATCAACGCTGATATGGATAACAACAACAAATTTTATGATAGACCAATTTTGGTATCCGAAAAATAAATACTTCGAAAATCAAAATAATAGATGATCAAAATAATAGATGATCAAAATATAGATGATCAAAATTTCATTAATTAGTCAATCTTTGTAGGCATTATTGTTTCGATTTTTTTTATTTATTGCATTGATATTCAAGGCCTATTTAGTATTTATATATATAAAACTTACTATTGAAAATTCAAACATCAGAACTGTACTCAGAATGATTAATAACAGCTTGCAGAGTGACAAAGAAAAATGATCTCTGTTTTGCATAAATCTGACACTTAAGCTTAATTAATAATATGTTGTATCGATTAAAAACAATTGATAAATTTCATTTTGAATACAAAAAACATTTATTAATAATATTGTTATTATCTGAATCTATTAAAGAGTAATCTTTAAGTGTATTTATAAATCATCATCATCATCCATAGTAATTTCATCAGGATTCGCAAGTTGTTTAGAAATGGATTCATCATCTTCTAAAGTTGTCGAAGATCTACACAATAATAGTAATGTAAGCAAACATTTATTTATTTATGATTATTATGATAGTGTTAAAATACATACGAAACAAAAGCAACGGCTCTTGTAAAATTGCTTTCAAGAAGAGCTTCTTTTTCTGCTAATTTCATTGGGTCAAGTGTAGTAGTAGAATGATCATCTGCTTCTGTGTTGGATGGTTTATCTTTTGTGTTTTGATGAGCTTGACGAGTAGCAAGAATTTGAGCCGATATAAAGTTAACCTAGAATAATGATGTGTGAGAATATTTTATATATTTATATTTATATTTATGTGTATGTACACACACACGTTTCTCTCACATACTTCTGTATTATATTGAGCTTGTACACTACGTTTAATCCTCAACATTTCTTTGAATGTATCTTCATTTCCATGCTTAACCTCAAAATCATGCCAAAGTTGCCAAAATGATGGCACTGTCTAAAAATTATTATTTATTGTAAGAATTATGCACACATATAATATCAATATCAAATAAATATATATTGCAATAATTACTCTAGGATCACAAAATTGTGATGCATGAGCATATATAGCTCTTGCTCTATCAATTTCTCCCAATTTACATTCAACCTCTGCATATTTCAAACACATATCTTTTGCTTCCCTATCAGGTAATACTTCAATGGCACGTTCATACAATTCTCGCGTATAAGTAATACCAAAGTTTGAACTTGCTTTGGCAATATAAAAATTGAAGACCTATAAATGAACGAACAAATAAATAAAATGAATAAATAAATATAATATGAATAAATATGAAATTAACGAATATCAATATAATGTAAGTGAATTAATAAAACAATATACCTCAAAACGATCTTCATCAGCAACTGCATTTGTTGCTCGATCATAAATTCGCATTGCATGTCTTGCCAATCCATAGTCCTCCTCTAATTTACCATACATAAGATATAATGTTTTTGCATGTTTTGGTGGACATTTCTCAAGAGCCTGTTCAAATAAATCTCTTGCTCGCTCTAATTTGGAACCTTTCTATATATGTGTGTGCGTATATTATAAGTGAGCGAGTATGAGTAAATTCGTGAAAATATTCATTAAAGAAAATACTTACATATCGGGCAACAAATTTGGTCAAATATAAATTCCAAATCTCAAATGCAATCGGATAATTGAATAATTCAATACCACGTTCATATATCTTTTAATTATTAAATGATTGTAAAATTTATTAAATTATTAAATATAATGAAATTATATAATATATTTATTAACCCACTTTATAACTTTCTTCAAAATAATTGTTCTCTTCCAAAAAAGCTGCATAATTGATTACAATTTGTGGTGTCGCGATCTTCAATTCCAACATTCGATCATATACTGCTCTTGTTGATACTATCGTACCAATACTCTCTTCAAGGTCAACATAGAATGACCAAAGTTTAATCGATTTAAAAACACGTGATTGTACTGATAAACTCTATATATATACACACACACACATATACAAATACATAAATATACATAAATAAAAATAATAAACAATAATAATAACATTATGATCATCGATACTAATGCAATATTATTTATAATATTTACCTCATCACGAAAGTCTACATTTGGATTACGGGGAGGAATTGTAGCATGGCCCATAACCTCAATTGCTTTATCATAATTCTCATTCCGTAATTCCATTTCAGCATACTCACACCATAACGTTGCTAAATCATTTACATTTTTAAAGTCAACATGAGTCCCTTTTTCAAATATTATTCTAGCACTTTCTATATCACCATTTTCTTCATAAAATTTAGCAAAGTTAACCCACAACTCATGCAATTTTCCTGTGGCTTTTTTAGGATTAATTGTTAAAATTGCCTTGTTATATGTTTCAACAATCTATTGTAAGTTTGCATTAAAAAATTTAATTAATTAATTAATTTTTTTTTTTTTTTTTTGGAATTTATGATCAAATTTAATTACTTTGATTTTTTTTGACACACCTGTTCTTTATTGTCTTTCCACAATGAAACCCTTTTTTCCCATTCATGAACATTATTAGGATTTTGTCGTAAAAGTACATCATTTACCAAAAATGGTCTACGATCCATCAATTGCTCAAATCTCAAAAGTCTAAGATCCAATTCTAAATCTTCTTCAGGATCATCATCATTATTTTCTGCGCGAGTTGCTGCTTCTTGCATTTTTGTTTCCATTATTGTCTCTTCAAACTGTGCATAAGTATCAAATATCTGCGTGAAATCTCTTACTGTCATCACATTCTTTATACCTTCTTCAAAAACATCTCGTGCCTGACAATAATATAATGGAAAAATAATATGATATTAAATAAACTTGTTCTCATACACATAAAAAAAATATAAATACCTTTTCAAAGTGACCTAATAAAATCCAATAATTAGCTAAAGAATTCCACAATTTTCCCACTTGATCAGTGAATCTACGAATCCCACTCCTTATAATAGGTTCTACTTTTAAACCTTTGATCTCTTGCGGATGATCGCACACTAAATCACAAAGTTCCATCCATAATTGATAATTTGATTTTCCATGCATTGATTGAAATCGATCATTATTCACTATTATTGCCAATTGTTTTGCTGCCTCATCATATCTTTTGAGCGATAATAGTAATTCAATATATTCTTCTATATGATCAGGTTCCAACTATATTTTATTTGTTTAAAAATACCAAATTAAATGTTTGCACATACATATATTTATCTTTGTTGATATAAGTTATTGAAATTTTAATAATACTATTTCTATTAATTAAAATAATAGTATCATAAAAACAATAAATTGTTTATTTATTCATAAATGTTTTTGAAAAAAAGATCTTTAAAATAAATATTAGAACCAATAACACATACCTCACCTTTAGATATCTTTTATATAATCTAATTGCAGTCTCACCACTAATTGTTCTAGCAAAATCCAAATATAAGTCCCAAATTCTAGGATGTTGAGTGATCGGTAATGCCTTTAATGCACGATCAAATGTACGACGAGTTTTTGTAATTCTACATTGTTTCATCAAAAATTTACAATAATCTAACCAAATCTTTGGCATCTACAAATTCATAACATAGTTATAATAAATAATAATAATAAATAATAATAATAATAATAGTAAACAAAAAAATCATCAATACCCTGTGCAATAGAACTAATGCTCTTTCAAAACAATTATTAACTTTCATATATTCTTTTTCAAAGTTGACAGAATTCAATTCTTTAACATTTGATATACGAAGATCTAAATATCTTTTCCACAATTTATATGAACCTGGTAACTCTTTTAAAGCACGTTCATATACAAAAATTTGTTGTGGTAATGGTTGTTCAGATTTATGATCAATATATCTGAGCCATGACTTGAGCGTATAAGGATTTCGCAATATCTCTTCTTCAAAAGGTATATCAATTTCTTCCTTATATAGAAAAATTATTTATTTTATTGAACAAAAAAATCTAACCACATCAATTAAATTTAAATTGAAAATTAATTTCACAACAGAAACTATCAGATCCTTCATTGTTAAAAATTCATTCAAGGCTCGTGCATTTCTTTTAAACCTTTTTGATTTAAGAAATTTAACCTCTTATACTCATTTATGACATCGACATCCGCTTTCAAGCAGTCAAAATCAAAAGATAGAATGTCCAACAACTTCCAGGAAGAAGCTCGACTCATCGCCACATAGATTTGTCCTGGTGCAAACATGTTATGGTCTATAGTCAAGGTTGCACATGGCAGTGTTAGGCCTTGAGTCTTGTGCACCGTAAGAGCAAATGCATTCTGCAACGGAAGTTGATACTTTGATGCCGGTATGCCATTTATATTAAAATTTGCAGTGCTTTTCTGAACGTTGATTTTCACCACATTATCAGTTGTTGGGAACGTAACTTCAACATTGTCATCATTAATAACTTTAGTTACCACTCCTATCATCCCATTGCAGATGTTGTGCTCGAAGAGTTGGTTGTTCAAGAACATAACCCTCACCCCTTCCTGGATTGTAATGGATTTTTGGAGATTTGTGTGATTTTTGAAAGGCAAGTTGTGCCCACCATCGATCCTCTCATGATTTAAAGTGTCAACTGCTAAGGAAACAACAGGATCAGAGCATCAGTCATCGAAAGGTAAGTGCTCACAAACGAAGGCGTTTATTTGGTCTGATATTTCACGGGTACTAACAACATGGGTGGTGTTTATCATCGCCCTGGAATTTTGAGATCTTTCTACCTTTTCATTGATCAACAATTTTGATTTTTGTGAGAGGTGCCCAAATCTCAACTCCTCGAGCAAATGGAAAAAATCCAAATCTTCCTTCTGTCGTTGTGGCCTGGACAAGAACAGAGGGAAAAACGCTTTCCACGCTGGTGAAAAGAAAACCTGTTCTCCGTTCACGGGAGGCAGTTGGAAAAGATCACCAACCAACAGCACCGAAATTCCACCAAATATCTTGTGGCTGTTGTGCAATGAACCAAAAAGGTTACTCAGGAATGAAAACAGCTCATTGGAAACCATTGATACTTCTTCTATCACAACAGCCTTGATCTTCAGCAGAGCTTCTCTCGACTCAGTACTTAGGGACAAGGACTGGTAGTGGCCATCTGTTTGTCTTATTCTCAAGGTTGAATGAATGGTCCTCCCACCAACGTTCTGTGCCGCAACACCTGTAGGTGCCAGCAACAGGTAATTGATTTTTTTTTTTCCAGCATGTCTATCATTTTTAAAGTCATGAATGTTTTTCCAGTACCTGCAGATCCGGTCATGAAGAAGTACAGATACTTGTTTTCGCATTCGGGGCCCCAAGAATTACAAAGCATGTTGTATATTTTGTATTGGTCGTGATCAAGCATCAGTGTGGAGGCTGTTCGAAGAGAAGGCTTTTCCAACGAGATAAGCTGGTTATATATAATGTCCCAGAGATCGTTCTTTTGTAGATCTGTCAGGACGTGTTCAATCACTCTCTTGAACGCTTCAGAAAGTTGGAATTTGCCGGCAACGGAACTTTTTGATAATCTCAACACGGCCTGCTCGTACCTTATCAGGTACAGGCTTCTAAACCTATCCCTATAACTTGTAAATCCTCCTAGCAAATCAACCTCGGAGCGAACAGCATGTTTCATTATAAGATGCTGATAGAAAAACGGCTCTCCATCGTCAACATTATAATTTGTAAATCTCACGAGCAACGGTTTGGTCCTTTCAGCAACAAATCTATGTTTCAGATCTCTTGTCAAGTAAAGCTTGCAGGTTCTGACCCCCAACTTTAAATCTTTGAAAGTATTCAGGGTAAGTTAAACTTTCAAAAAGTTCATTACTTGGCCAATCAAAATACTTGTCTATCGCATCATCAAAATACAATTTTTCCTCATCCTCATCCTCATCATCTTCTTGTTGCTCCTCAATTGCATGTGAACGGGCTTGACCGAACGAATTCTCAATTCGGAAGGGGCTGATGGAAGATATTGAACGGAAGCAGAAGACCTTGTTATGGAATATTGCAAAAGCAATATCATGAATTCCATCGACCCTAACCTCCTAGCCTGGACATGTCTGCTGTAAGAATCTTGTTTGCTAACATTGAAGATTTCTGTGGGTTCAGGCTTGGTGGCATACTTTGTCACGTATTTTCCAAACCCAAGGGTCGTTATGTATTGGAAGTTGATGTGTCCTTGCCAAATCAAAAGTGTCTCAGGGTGGTATGGTACAACCCAGCGGTCTTCCTCTTTGGTTCTTTGATAGACGTATCATTTGGAATTTGGCCTACAGTACGTGTTGTTTGAAAGCAGTTGAGGGAATCCATTTTTGCACGGTTGCAAATTCGTACCTGGACCTCTGCATTTTTCCGCAATGCATCTATGAATTTGGAACATTGTGACAAGCCAGTGAAGCTCAGGCTCAAGGACCGGGTGAGGCATGTCTGCACAGATTGCATTGTCCAAAATCAAGCCTTGGATCGAAGATTCAGTGTAGGCGAACCCATGCGTGTGGATGGTTTCTCTGTTCTGAAATTCATCCCTTTCGAAATAGTGTAGGAGCTTACCCCATTGCACAAGACCTGGATTTTTCCAAAGTTTATTGCGCATGTTTGCCAACCTGTTGTGATAATGGAGGTACACATGCAATGGTCTGTTTGTTGGGAGTGGATCTTTCTTGTCGGTGCATTCTAAGATTTCTTTCAGATGCTGCCATTTGCCTTCTGTGGCTGTCATGGTGTAGAAAATTTGGGGCAGGCCATAAGCTTGGATCATTGTGTTGATCTGATACTGTTTTTTCTTGAAAAAAGGCGCAGACGTTCTGATAGATGAAGGTAGCGTGGTGGTTAAGGATTTGTTTATGATGGGGCGACTTGTGTACATGCTTGATGATATCAAGTCAGCTCTGGTAAGTGGTGAGTCGTGAGCGACATTCTTCTGATTCAAAATTCTGTTCTGATTTTGGTAATTCCGTTTTTTTTCTATGTTCATGTAAGAATAATGTGGCCAATACCAATGCAATCGAAACCGTGGATCAGGACACAGCATTCTTAATTTATCATACTTTCCATAACTGTCTGTAACTTGTTTAAAGCTTAGCAACTTTTTCACATCTTCATAGTGACCACGGCTGGTGGGAAAGAGATCAGGGAAGACCAACGCTTCAACGTATGGATTACTGAGCTGAATCAGAAGCACAAGGTCATCATCCAAGTCCATGAACCCTGCCATCAAGCATTCATACCTGTAGTCTTCATCATGGATTTGTGCTGGAAAGTCATCATTTGGGACGACCAAGGAGGGTGGTTGTGTGGTGTGTTGGTTAGATGGTAAGCGATCAACAGATCAAGAAACCAGCCTAGCTGTGGGCAAAGGCTCTGGAAATGGATCAGAGGGCGAAGAACGTGTCATGGCGCGATTGTTGTTGTATTGTTTAAATATTGGGTTGTTTTGTTTCAGCCATCGGCTTGCATTTATCAAGCTCTCATGAAACCAATTAGGTGGCTCGGTACCTTGATCAAGGAAAGCACCAATCATGCCCGAGTGCAGATTCAAAGCATGCTTATTCTTTGATAGTCCGATGAAGCCTTGCAAATGACGATAGTTTGTGTAATGGTTGGATCCAGACGCATGTCCCAGCGAACAGCTCATGTGAATCGGAGATATATGCTTACAGTACACCATTGGAACCACGTTGATTTCTTCAGGTATTGCCGCTAATACAGGTGGGAAATGATGGTTTTTTACTGTTTTGCACGACGAGCAAACAGCAATCTTGATACGGTCTTGGTTGTTCATACGCAAAGGTAGCTGAAGTTTGGGGAATGCTGTCGTTAGGTCGTAAGTTTCATCAGGGTTGTAATCAACCCATTTCACAGCAGTGCTCATCATTAGGATAGAACAATAGGCACAAGGAGTAGATGGGTGATCATACAGTATTTTTTTTTTGAATTGGTCTAAAAGTTCTAAAAGTTTTTCTGAAGGGCGCCATGGCTGCAATGACAAAGCGGACACCGGCCGGTTACTCAGCAGAGCATTCAGCAAGTTCTGATTCACTTTGTTACGATCCACATATGCAGAAAGGAACGAAACGTCACGAGCATTATTATTATTATTATTAACACGACGAGTATCGGGATCAGGAACGATAAAATCCGAAATGGGATAATTATTCATGGTTTTTTTTTTTTATTTTGTATTGACAATTTTTTTTCAACAAAATTTATTTTTTAGACAAGATGTCCCAAACGCATTCTTTTTATACAATTTATCGAGGGTGAGCATCATCACGTTTTACGCAAATCAGGATTGGAGATTAGATTTTTATTCTTTATTTGTTTTTCAAATCAGTAAAACTAAGATATTGATCAATTGATCACAAAAAAAAATAATCTATATTAAAAAAAAATTTTTTACTTCTTCATTACACAACAGCAAGCCAAAAACATCGATCATTCATCATCGCTGTATGCTTCATTGTTTGATCAGTGATCAAGATCAAGGTCTTCCTCTTCGTCGTTGGAACACGGCAACTCGGGTCCTTTCCCCTTTCTGTTAACTTGATCCATCGCCGTTTGTAAGGCTTTTGTTCTTGTGATGGGCCTGTTCAGTGGACTCAGCTCTGTGCAAACTTTTTTGTGAGATTCATTGTCATCAACCACCACTACTTGTCTTTTATTATTTTCTACAGTGTTGGTGGCGGTGGCTGATGTTGAGGTCGACGGTGATGTGGATGATGACGCAAACGACGACGATGACGACGCATTGTTGACTTTGTGCCTATTGTTTGACTTCTTGCCTACTTACTTCTCCTCTATGCTCAGAAACTTTTGCCTGCGCATGCTTTTTCCAGGCGAAACCTGTTCATTCTTCACTTTTGGAAATACCCAATCGACCTCGGTGCAAATTATTTGTGCAAGGTTCTTGCCTATGAACAATTCTCCAGCAGCGCTAAAGATCAGTGCCTTTTTTGACGCTTCTGCAATTGCAGCAAATCATGGGTTTGAGTGGTCATAGACGCAAGGGATCTCAATGTCTTCGCTTGAGGAAGTGAACGTATTGTAGATTTTCTTTCCCAGAACAAAAAAATTACACTCGTCATCAGTGGCCACTGCTTCTGCAACACACAGAGCACAAAATGAAGCAAACAATGGGGTAATTGGGAGGTCATGGACTCCAGGTTCCTCGCGAGTTGTTTTTAGGTCAAGATCTACTGCCTTTAACACAATTACCTGCGAAAATATTTATTGTCAAGTTAGTTTAGGCGTAAAGGAACAAAACACTTCCTTCACACACACACAGCATAAATATACTTATGTATAGTTGACCAGAAACGAACAGAAACTTGCCCACAATGGACATTATTTGGTGTTTTTCTATTTGATGGACCAGGTTGTTGTCAGCGGAGTTCATTCTAAATGCTTTGTAATTGACCTCCACATACTCTTGTTCATCCACA